AAAACCTCTCTCTGGGTCTCAGTGGGCAAAGAGCCCTGAGATCTGGGCGTGAAGCCAAAGAAAAGTTGAAAAAGACAAAGAACTGAAGAGTTGAAGAAGAATGGATGAAGCAGAAGAGTTGATGAAAAAAGGCTGAAGGAAGGAATAATTTGAACCAGATAATTCTGGATCTGCAGTCAAAAGCTCTACCACTGAGCTCTACTAAGGGCTGAAAGGCTGCAGATGAATTCATAGGAAAAATTTGAAGAGGCGGAATGTCAGTGACCAGCAGAGGGAGCCATATTTTTTACTCCATTCATTTCAATGAGAGAAAATAACAGCAGAAAAAGTTAAATATCTTAAAAAGTTGAAAAGATTTGAACACCAAAACAAATTTTTCAAATGATTCTTCCGTTCAGCCTTTTTTATTCAGAAACAGCCTACATGCATTCTCACTATTGTTTTCCTCTTTCTCTTTTTGGTGTTCAAATCTTTTAAACTTCTTAAGTTTTTTAACTTTTTCTACTTTTATTCAAAAGCATGGCTCCATCTGCTGGTCACTGGCATTTCGCCCCTTTAAGTTCTTTATGTGTAGTCCTATCCAAAATTTCCGCTAAGGGTATAGCTCAGTGGTATAAAGTTTAACTGCCAACTGCCAGAGGTTGCTGGTTCAAATCCCACTCAAAACTTCTTGTACCTGGTGATTTCGAGCTTTTCAAATGATTCCTCCGTTCAGCCCTTTTTTCTCCAACTCTTCTGCTTCCTCCATTCATCTCTTGGCTTTTTCTCACAGCTTTTTCTAGTAAAACCTCCGATGCTAAAGTGAGTGATCTGGTCACTGGCATTTCTCCCCTTTAAGTTCTTTATATGTAGTCCTATGTAAAATTTCAGCTAGGGGTATAGCTCAGTGTTATAGCGGTTAACTGCCAACTGCCAGCGGTCGCTGGTTCAATTCCCACTCAAATTTTCTTGTACCTGGTGATTTTGAGCTTTTCAAATGATTCCTCCATTCAGCCTTTTTTCTTCAGAAACAGCCTACAGGTATTCTCTCTATTGTTTTCCTGTTTTCCTTTTTCTGCGTCTAACTACACCCACAGTTTTCAGCCTATTTCAACAAATAAAGTACCAATTGTCTTGTGGTAAATCTCAGTGGTAGAGCAGTTAACTGCCCATCCAGAGGTTGCTGGTTCAAATCCTACTCAAATTTTCTCGTACTTTGTGCTTTTCCATTCTTCTTTTGGCATTCTCACAACTTTTTATAGCAAAACTTCCGATGCTAAGGTCCATCCATTCATTATCAATACCGCTTATTCCCTGATGGGGTCACGATGCTAAACTGAGTGATGATACGATGCTAACCTGGTGATTTCAAGCTTTTCAAATGATTCCTCCGTTCAGCCTTTTTCCCTTAACTCTTCTGCTTCTTCCATTCATCATGTGGCATTCTCACAGCTTTTTCTAGCAAAACTTCCGATGCTAAGGTCCATCCGTTCATTATCAATACCGCTTATTCCCTGATGGGGTCACGGGCCG